ATTAATTTTCTGATATATTAGCTTATTTAGTGTCAGCCAAGTTTGCCCGAGGCTTTATTTAGTTCACTGCGTTTGTTTGTTTGTTTGTTTGTTTGTTTTTTTTTTTTTTTTTGGTTTTTGGAATGAAAGGGGAAATATCATTAGACGAGAATATTTACAAAAAATTCGAAATCAGGAGAAATAAAACAAGCTCATTGATGAATGCCTTGGTTAAGCTCCTGGGCTTTTTTACAGCATGGTCTTCAAGAATTAACGATACATTTAATTGTAATGCAGTGCAGCATTTTCGTCGTGCTTCATGGTCTTTCGTTATATATGGGGTTAAATGATAATTTCAGTATTAAAATATAAGTTTAAGGGTAGTTTGAATCTTGAATTTGTATTTGGTATATTTTGAATAAAGTATGTAGTTTCTACAAAGCAAATGTCTTCAATGATAACAAAGTAAGGTATAAATGTCAAAAGCATAAAATTTACATGCCCCATATTTTAGATAAAAGGTATTTCTAGAAAATGGTTTATATGTGGTCTAGAATTTTGATTTGATTACTAATTATTTAATCTTTTTTTTTTTTAACTCAAAGGGTATAAAAGCACAATTCTAATTTAGCTTGGCTTTAAAATTTTGAGGACAATAAAATTGAAATACAAACAAAATAAAGCATTTTATAATTTTATCCTTTTTCTTGGAATAAAATACAAGGATATACTTTCAGTTTTGTTAAAATTATGGTGACTTTTTTTTTTTCAAAAAAAAAAAAAACGAATACTTTAGTTAAATTTTTAATATTTTAAGAAATGTGTTATTAAAAATTATAAAATATTTAATTTTATTAATTAAATCTATGTTAAAAAAATTTAAGATTATTAATTTATTTCGATTGCCTAATTATCTGCCTGTGTCTTTTCCAGTTCAAGGAATTTTAAAAATACTATATGAAAAATAATAACATTTAAAGTACGATAAACATAAATTATATTACTCCCTTTGTTAAGAAAATAAAAAACATTTTAATTAAATTTTATCTAAATAAAATAATTACTTATTTTTAAATTAATATTATTTTTTTCATATTCATCCATATTTAATAGGGTGTTTTATTTTAAAATAAATATAAAGTAATTTATTTATTAGAGCATTTAAAAAAATGCAATAATATATATTGAAACATTAAAAATACCTTATATTTTTTAATATTTAACCCTTCAAAAAATGCATTATATTTCTAAATTAAGAGAGTAATTAATTAATCTCTTTTTAAGATTTTTTTGACATATGTATATGAAATATTATTTTTTTTGATCGAATATATGAAATATTATTTTAGTTCACTCACACTCACACACAGATATATATATATATATATATTTAATTTAAAAAATTTATTAATTAAATAAGTTTACGAAACTAAAAAAATTAAAATATGATTAAAAATAAAACATATGTAAGCATTAAAATTATTTTTTAGTAACCTAAATGATTTGAATTAATATTTATTTTAAAAAATATATTTTGTTTTAAAAATATATGATATAATTAAGGTTGATGGAAATGAAATATAAAAATTTAGAAAGTTGGTATATAATTTTGAACTTTTAATTTTAGAAAAAGTTTATATAAATTTTAAAATAAAAGGGTTAAAGATTATTTGGCTTTTAAATTGTAGGCATCTAGAATCCTCATTTTTCTAATGTTTTCCTTTAACTTTTAAAAATGATACAATTTTACTCCTAACATTAATAAAAATATAAAAAAAAATTTTGTTAGTTGATCAAAAAAATAAAAAAGGTACAAAAATTATAGAAAAGGACAAAAAATTTAATCTAAAAATTATAAAAAATGATTAAAAAATTACAAACAAAAACATAAAATATTACAAAGAAGGATCAAGAAATTTCTTAGTCTTTTTATGTAATTTTGAAGTATTGATCTATCTTTTTTTAGTTAATTAAAAATTAAAGTTAACTTTTATTAAAGTTGGAGTGACATTACATCATTTTAAAAAATTAAAGGGTAATTTTGCACAAAAAAAAGTTTAGATTCTCAAAATGCTCTAGAGCCTTTAGTTTAGGGGCAAATTATCATTTACCCAAATCAAAATGATTACTTCCTCTAGCTTTATTTATAAGTTACTTTCAATATTTTTATGGGAACCAAAAAAAAACATTAAACATCATTAGTTCTATCTAAAACTTTTAATAAATTTTCAACTTCATCCCTATTAAATGTACACACCTTAAAATAAAAATACTCTAATATACAACCTTCACAATATCTAATAGGGATAAAAAGATAAAAATTAGAATAAACATAATAATCATTGAGGTTTCCCGTAAATAAAATTAAAATAAATATTATTTTCACATTGTAAACAGGACAAGAGGAATATTTCTTTAATTAAAGCACTAGAATTGAGGTAAGTGAATCTTGTTCAAATTTTTTATTACATTAAAGGCATCAAAATTATGCCCTATGTCAAAAAGATAAGGATGTATTTTTGCCTCTAAAGTATTCTTTAAAGAGTCACTAGAATCCTAAACTATTAATTAGAGCAATTTTTTTTTAAAGTAATTAAAACGGAGCATCTTTATCCTTACTATCAAATTTTCAACGTTAATCGTTAGAAATATTTTTTCTAATTGAGACTCATTATTAATTGTTTGAGAATTTAATAAAAAAGGCAAAAATGTTCTGTTTCAATTACTTTAAGGGTAAAATTAATTTACTAAATAATTTAGAGTGTTGGGTGCTCTTTGGATAATATTTTAGAGGCAAAAGTGCACCTTCACCCTATGTCAAAGTAATAAATAAAAAAATAAATTTTTTTTTGGGGAAAAATAACATTTCCCAGTGTATCATCTAAACTTTTTTAACAATACATAATTTTTAATAAAGTTGATATAATATATTTGTTAAACAATACCAGATGCATTGTTAAAAATTTGTCACTTGATATTTAAAAATTTTATATATCTGTTAAACAATCAACAATGTTCAATAATAATACTCAAGTCTAGCTGATACCTTTGACATGTCGTCGGACGAAAGAATGGTCCCCCCCCCCCCCCCACCCCTTTTTCTTGCTTGAGAAGTGGTGCCGGCGATCATTTGACTGCCTTGGATTCAAGGGAATTGGAATCCAACGGTCTGGTTTACACATCACTACCTCCTCTAGCATCTATCGTTCTTCAGGAAGCTCGAAGCCATGGTAAAAACCTTGTAAAGGTTACAAAAATCAGGTCATATCAAAATTTAAGATAATTTTGCATCCTATAGGTAATTTATTATAAATAATGATATCGGAATTGTCACGAGGAATTTGACGTGCGAGCTTATAAACTCATTTGTTTGTTTCTTTTAAGACATGATTTGAGGGGACTGTTCAATTTTTCATGACAAACTTTTAATTTTCTTAATGTTTGTTGCTAGGGAATGACTATCAACAAAGTTATATTGTATGAGTGGAAGAACTTTCATGAAATTAATGTGTAAATTAATTTTTGTAATTTTTCATTTTAACAAAGTTGGAGACTTTCTAGAATGTTTAATAATTCAACTGGAGTATTAGAGTGATAGTCGAAATATCTTGAAAATCCCATAATTTAATTTCCTTTTTCATTATAAATGACTCTACCACAAGCCAATTTTGAGACCTTTTAGAAGCTCATGTTGATGATCATGATTTGCAGAACGACCCGCGTTTCCAAGGGGCTAATAGAGGAGGAATTGATTAATGTTCGGGGCCGACGTTAGCAAGTACTTTTATTACTGCTTGTTTCGTTTCCGGTTAGTTTTATCTCTTTTGTTTTATTTTTTTATTTTGACCTGATGCTTTATCTCTGGACCTTGCTTTTTTATTTAATGGAATGCATATCTTTTCTGGTCAAATAATATAATAATAATTATTAATTCTAAAATTATACTAGACATAGTTTGGAAACCCAGACCGGACCGGCCGGGTCAACCCGAAACCCGGTGACCCAGTCCTTTTTTCGGTCTGGGTTCATGACTAAACCAGTATGAGTCTAACCCGGTGTAACCGGATAACCCGATGGGTTGACTGGGTTAACCGGGTTGATTATTTTTCAAGCTGAACCCCCCAAAACGACATCGTTTTGGGGGATTTTTTATTTTTTTCAAGCCCTAAAGCCTAAATGAGGAACAGCCGAACAGAACTGAAATTCGGTCTAGTCCAGCTAGGGTTCGCCTTCACACTTCGCAGATGCTGTCTTCGATCAATATCAGAGATTCAGATCAGTATCACGGCACGAGCATCATATTAGATTAGTGTCACTCAGTCGCCTTCGCCACTTTGATGACTCAAAATATCAGATCACTCAGTTAGCTGCGTCATCTCTCTTATCTCGTCTGGTTGCCCTAACCTAATCGGCCTCACGCTCTATTTTCGACCTCCATCTCTTCTCTAGTTCTCTTCTCTAATCGATTTGAAATCAGAGGCAGAGCACGCACATAAGATACACTTCATCGTATCGATCTGTAGTTCTTCACTTCTTCTTGACAGCGTTCAGCTTCAGCCCATTGTGACAGAGTGATTCAGCAGCTCATGCTCGACTTTTAGCATTAGGTCAGTTTCACTATATCTCGTGCTGGACTTTGTTTTTATTTCTTACTTCAGCTCGTGATTATTGTTTCTTTGCCTGATTGTTGTTTCTTGAACTATATTGCTTTTGCTGCTAAGTAAGCTAATTGCTTTCTTGAACTATATTGCTTTCGGCAGTTGATTGCTTATTGCTAAGTAAGCTACTGATTATTTTTATTTCTGGAGAAGATGATTGTTTGCTTGATTTTGGTCATGACTGTTGTCTCTTTTTGTTATTGTTGTTTTTAGATATGATTCAACTTGCCTCTTCTCGTGCCTAGTTGTTTCTTGATTTAGCTTTATTGTTAATTTATTATTTGAATTTTGCATTTGTGTTAAAAAATAAAATTGAAGCTTTGTCTTTAGCTTGCAGAATAAAATGTAGTCATTATATTGATTATGGATATTGGAAGTAGTCCTAGTGATCGAAATGAGAATCTTACCTTCAATTCCAATGATCCCCCTCCTAGTGGTAATGACTCAACATGTGAGGCCCTATCTGTGTGTGGAAAAACTGACCCTGCTTGGGCACATGTTGCCTTAAGAAAAGAGGGCAAGAAAAATATATATACTTGTCTTTATTGTGCATCAAGTTATGGAGGAGGTGGGATTAACAGAATGAAGCAACATCTTGCTGGTGTGAGTGGTCAAGTAGCTTCTTGTAAGAAAGTTCCTTATGATATACGTCATAGGATGGTTGAGTCTTTGAAAGGTGGGAGAAAAAGGAAGGTTGATGATAGAAAAGAACAAGAACAAGAACAAGTAGACATTGGGGACCTCAAAACTAATGATCTAATTGCCCCTACTCTAATTAAGACAGCCCCTGAGAGAAGTGCCAATAAGAGGCAAGCTTCTACTGCTTCAGTTGAGAATTATTTTGCCCCCAGGATAACTCCTGGTTCCCAACCTAGCATCAAGAGTGTGCTTGCAACAAAAGAAGCACAGTATAATGCAAAAATGATTATTGCTGAATGGGCTATTGTCAATTGTATTCCATTTAATGCATTAGATTGTCCTTTATTTCAAAAAGTCATAGATGCTATTGCTTCAATTGGGCTGAGGTTCAAAGCCCCTAATGCTTATGAATTTAGAATCAATTTGTTGACAGATTGGAAAAAGGAATGTCAATTACTTATTGAGAGTCATCAAGCTAAATGGAAAAACACTAGATGTACACTCATGGCTGATGGTTGGACAGATGTGAGGCAGCGAACTTTGATTAATTTCTTAGTCTATTCTACAAATGGAATGGTTTTTGTGAAATCTATTGATGCTTCAGATTTCGTAAAAGATGCTAGGACTTTGTTCTTGTTGTTATGTGAAGTGATTGAGTGGGTTGGTCCCAAGAACATTGTTCACATAGTGACTGATAATGCTGCAAATTATGTAACATGTGGCAAGTTGATTGAGGAAAAATATAAAAATATTTATTGGTCACCTTGTGCTGCTTATTATTTGAACCTTACTTTAAAAGATATAGCAAGCTTAGATAATGTGTCAGCACTTGCAACTAAGGCATCAAAGATAACTGTTTTTGTTTATAATCATATGATCTTCTTGTCATGGCTTAGGAAAAGACGGGGTTGGAAAGAAATTGTGTGTCCTGGTGCAACAAGATTTGCCTCTACATTTATCACGTTGCATAGCATATATATGCATAAGCATAACTTGCAAGCTTTGGTGATTGATAAGTACTTTGTAGATCATAAATTGTCAAAGACTCAAGCTGAAATAATTGTTACTGCCATCATATTAGATAATGGCTTTTGGGGTGATTGCTTAGAAATTATGAAAGTTGTGTCTCCTCTTATAAAGTTGTTGAGAATTGTGGATTCAGATGAGAAGCCTTCTTTGCCTTATGTTTATGAAGGCATGCAAAGGGCAAAAAAAGCAATCAAGGCAACATTTAACAATAACAAAAATTATTACAAGCCTTACACAAACATTATTCAAGCTCATTGGGATAAGCACTTTAAGACAAATCTTCATGCAGCGGCGTATTTGTTGAATCCTGCATTCTTGTATGATGAAAACTTTGTTCACAAAAGAAGGTTAATGGATGCAATGTTTGACGTGTTTAAGTCCAATGAAAGTGAAGAAATTGATTATATTATGATGATGAAGTAGTTGAGTTTGTATCGTGATCGTAAAGAGTCTTTTGACAAAACTTCATGTCAGAGAGCAGCCCAAAAATTAAATCCTTGTGAATATTCATATTTATTATTTAACATGTTCATGGTAATTCTAGTTATTATATGATTAACAACTAACTAAATATTTTTCATTTGCAGATGAATGGTGGTCATTCTATGGAGATTTTGTTCCAGAATTGCAAACTCTTGCAATGCGCATTCTTAACCAAACTTCTTCTTCTGGCTGTGAAAGAAATTGGAGTTTGTTTGAACACATCCATACCAAAGATGAAATAGATTACAACATCAAAGATTGAATGATTTGGTTTTTATAAATTATAATTTGAGATTGAATCATAGGTAAAAATTAGAGTTTTGAATGGTAATACTTTTATATGTGATGTTTCTTTTCTTTTCTTCTTATTAGTTTTTCCTCTACACCATCAAAAGTGCTCACTTATATGTGATATTTGTTGCAGTGAAAGGGTGGAAGTTTGATGCTGTATCTAGGCATTTTTTCCCCTCCATCTATCACTCAAAATGCTTACTTTCACATGATATTTAGAGGATTTGAACCTTAAGTTATTAATGTTGTTAGATAATGCTTACGTTCACGTGATAATCATTTTTTGCTTCTTCCCTCTCCATTTCAACCACGTTGATTGATGTAATTAAGTAGCCTCTGAACATTTCATTAAAAAAAAGCTGACTATTTATTTTTAATGGCATGGATAGATTATTATTATCTTAAAATTTAATATGTGGTTTTATGTGCTATTATGGGGAGATGGGCAGCATAACAGATTCAAAATGCATGATGCATGGGGAAGGGATTACATATGCGTGTACATATTCATATGTTTTGTGCGAGTCTCAGTTTCATGCAACTTTTACCTAATCTAAAGCAACTTTTAATGATGCTGTATTTTTATTATTGTTTATCATATTTAATTGCTTTATTTTTTTAAGGAGTCAATTGACGAAAAATAAAAGTTATGATCCCATTGATTATGAATCAATTGACAAAGTTGACTTTTGGATGGTTGAAGAAGAGGAAGAGCCAGCTCCTGAGTTTGATTCTCAAAATGTTGCAAATCTTGAAAGTACTATTCACAATGAAACCATAACTGCTCCATCAACCCTTGAGAGAGATTATGAAGGTTTATTAAATCTACTATCATATCTAATACAAGTATATGAATTTCTTTTTTAAAATGCCATTCATTAGTATTAATTTTTAGTTCTTGTAAGTGATGAATATATGAATGTTCTAGAGTCCCCACCTTTGCCTGATGTTGCTAGTAATTCTAGTTTTTCTCATTCAACTCCTGATGTCTCAATGCCCGAAAATTTGAATGAAGTTAATGATGATTTTGGTGTTGGTGAATATTAGTTTTAGACTTTTTAATGATTAAAGGGTTGTAATTGTAAGGAATTAAGGATTGATATTTGAAGTGTTGTATTTTATTATTGTTGGACTTTTGAGTGGTTAAATTTGATTGACTTTTTTTATAATTAATATTTTTTTATTTAAATTATATTATTTTAATCATGATCGTTTGATCATCGATTTAACTTTTGATTGAATCACCAATCCATGATCTATTCTTGTGACTACCTATACTAGATGTGCTTCGTATATTTTACAATATGATATAATTGGAGGGGGGGTGGGGGAGGATCACAGGACTTGTTGGCTTTGATATGCGCATCTGCAGCTCCGCTGCATTTTGAGAAAATTTTGGAGTTTACTGATAAATGTGAATGGTTTAAATTTAATGTTAAACCATCTTTCCGAGTTTAGAGTTCCGACTCTCAGCAGAAAACTCAATTCCGATCCCTCTGTTGAAGCATCTGCAAAGTGAAGATGTTGTGTTTTGCAGCAACCAGGTATACCTTTCCTCCATCATCTTCTTCTCGCTTTCTTCTATCTTTACCTTTCTCACTCTATTTCAAGTTCTTCCTTCATTCCCATTCTCCAAACCCTGATGAGGTTTCCGATGCCATTGCTTTATTCAATCGCCTGTTCCGTCAACGCCCTCCTCCCTCGATATGCGAAATTACCAAAAGTTTAGGCGTCATTGCCAAGATGAAGCATGACCCCACTGCCATTTCACTTGGTTCTCAGGTGGAGTTGAAGGGTTTCACTCCATCTTTAGTTTCTCTGAGTATTTTGATCAGTTGTTACTGCCACGTGGGTCGGATGGATTCTGCTTTCCCTCTGTTGGGGAAGATTTTCAAGATGGGTTTTCAGCCGGATACGATAACTTTGACTACATTATTGAACCGGCTATGTATCAATAACATGGTTGGGGAAGCATTGGATTTTCACGATGACCTCATTGTAAAAGGATATTCTTTTTTAATGAAGTTAGTTACGGCACTATAGTCAATGGATTATGTAAAATGGGGAAATCAATATCTGCTGTCAAATTACTCCGGAAGCTGCCGAGTCTTGCTATGAAGCCTGATGTAGTTATGTACAGTACAGTTATCGATGGGCTTTGTAAGGATGGATTTGCAAGTGAGGGACATGGTTTGTTTTCAGAAATGATTGGCCTGCGGTCACATACAGCACTCTAATAGATGGGTTCTGCAAAATCCATAGTTGGAAATAAGTTACTCAATTGCTTAATGATATGTTCCAAAGAGGCATCAACTTGAATGTAATCACCCTCAGTATATTGGTGGATGCATTTGTAAGGATGGAAGGATCATCCAAGCACAAGCCATGTTTGCCAAAATCATGAAGCTTGGTCAAAAGCCCACTGTTGTTTCCCATACCAGCTTAATAGACGGGTACTGTCTGATCAATAATGTAAAGGGAGCAGTAGGAGTATTTAATAAGATGATCAAAAGTGGTTTGAGACCTAATGTTGTCTGTTATAATATTTTGATTAATGGATATTGTAAGAATAGAAGATTGGATGAGGCCATGTATCTCTTTAAGAAAATGCGTTCTAGAAATTTGGTTCCCAACACCGCAAGTTATAATTCTCTTATTGATGGCTTGTGCAAAGCAGGAAGACTCTCAGATGTTGATGAGATGCGCCACAGAGGTCATCCCCCAAATATATTCACTTTTAATGTATTGTTAAATGCATTTTGCAAAAGGCAGGATCTTGATTGAGCAATTGCATTATTTCAACATGTTGTCAGAGAAGAAATACGACCTACTGTCCACACCGATAATATTCTTATGGATGGTTTGTGCACAGGTGGGAAACTAAATAAGGCAAGAGAGATTTTTCACTGTCTATTGATGGAAGGTCACCATCTAGATGTTGTGTCTTATAATGTTATGATCAAAGGACTTTGCAAAGATGGTTTGTTTGATGAGGCAATGATTCTAGCTGATAAAATGGTAGACAGTGGGTACATCCCTAACAATATAAACTTTAAAATTATTACTGGACACCTTCTTGATAAGAACGAGAATGGTGACACCGAGAAGCTTCTTCGTAAAATGGTTTCAAAGGACTTGTCAAAAAATTGAAACAAGGTGAGGCCCTCTAGTTCTTGTTTGTTTCTGCTAAAAGTTGTTTGATTCTGATTACTATTGATGTTCTGTTCAAGGCTTACATTTAGTAAATTTATGTTGCCTTTGTGCCATTAGCAATGTTAAAATTTTTTCTTAAAATGGCTTTGTTCTTTCTTCTTAATGGCAGATTACTAAATTCATTCAACCGTTTGATATGCATCTCTTGTTGCTAATGCATTTGTCTCTCAGATTGCTATGATAGAGTTCTTTTCTCATGTCATCAATTGGGTGGAAGATTTCAGACTCAATGGAACAATACTTTTCACTTTATGGAAGAACGTGAACTTGTATATAATATACTTATTGCCACAATGTTATGGTACCAGAATGGTTCATCTTCAGCAACAATTTTTGAAGTTTCTGTTTTGGACCCAGCTTCTCTCCACTTACCCCTCTCCACTAATTCTAAACAATGTCGTTTACTCGTTTTGCTTATTCAGGTAGAATCTACGCCATTCATTTTATTATAATCTCAACTGTTGCTTGTGGAATTTGGAGAGAAGAGACCAAATCAAGTTTCAGCCCTCATCGTTTGCCTCTTTCCATTTCATTCTGCAATGATGAATTCTCATTTCCCTCAAACCATATCGACCCTCAAGAGGTCTTCATTGTCAGTGAATGTTCTAAGGTCTTCATTGTAACATTCTACTTTAATTTTTAGAGTTAATTAGAATTAATGAAAAAAAAATAGAAAGAATGTTTGAAGATAAATAAATTAATTAGGAGATTTTGTTTAACTTAGGATATAATTTTTATGTTAAGTTTTGCTTTTAAAAATTGGAAATAATGATAAGTGATAATATATATATATATATATATATATAAATAAAGAGAAGACTTAATGAGGAAGTATATTGAAGTTAAAAAAAAAAAAAAAAGAGAATAAGATGAGGCGGTGGAATTGAGGCCAATATATATATTATGGCTTTGCTCTCTCATCTCATTCACGCACAAGACAAGAGAGAGAGAGAGAGAAAGAGAGGGAGATAGAGAGAAGGAGAAGGAAAGGAAAAGGTTAAGGGTTTGAAGGCTTTTGAGGTAAGATTTTATGCTCAAAACTATTTCTATTTCCAAAATTTCTTTTATAAATATTTTCCTACTCATCCAGAGCTTTCAAATAATATTAAAATTTTGATGAGTAAAGTAAATTCTAAAATTTAAACTTAGAGTAAGTATTGACTTTTAACAATGAAAACTATTAATTAGTAGAGATAAATTAGTACTTAAATTTTATTAGTTCAGATTTGTTCTATAAACTGATTTGGGGGTTTAAAATTAAGTTTTTAATTATAAAATTTGTGATTTCTGGTGTATAGGATGTTTATATTGATTAAATTTTGTTTTTGAGATTTAGATAAGTTAATTTAATTTAATTTTGGGTTTTTATTGGAGGGATTTAGATTGGAAGGATATGATTGTAAACTTGAGAAGTTTAGTTAAATTTTATATTTAATTGATAAATTACAATATATATATATATATATCTAACGGTATTTATATCATTCGATGTCGTAGATTAATCTATTATCGTGGTTAAGAAATTCCTTACACATCTGAGTTAGTTGTAGCTTGGAAAAGAGGTAACATTGGAATATCCTTTCATATATTGAGATACTGGTTTTTAGTATTGTGTATATATATATTAATATTTGTGTAATCTTATTGTGGAATGTGACATTTGTTTTATATGTCGCAAAAGAGGTAATAAGGATGGCTAGTAATATGATTATTTGTTCGGGATTAATGATTGAATATTATGCCACGTGGTTTGCCTCCACTACGTGCGTAATGGTTGGCCTTTTTCTTGTAGTTCCCAATGTCTTTGACATTTTGAGACGATGGGCACCTTCTTTTTAAGGGAAGGAGTCCTATTCTGATGGCAATGTACCTTTGGCCGAGTATAACCTTAGTTTAGGCTCCAGCTAGCGGTAATAAAGGAGTTAGGAGCCATAAGGGTGAGGTTGGGAAATGTATCACTATTGTTTTAATTTGACATTGATTTAAAAATTGTTATAAAATTGTGAATATTACATTTCTTGTTTTATGTATTGATCATGAAATGCATATGTATATCTACGGATATGTTTGCGAACTGATTTCAAGAAATATGTTGGTATATGTTAGAATAACCAATTGTTACTGAGATTTTTAATCTTACATGTTACTTCTTATCATTTTTAGGTGAGCAGTTAAATGGAGCTATAGGGAAGGCACCGAAGAAGTGAGCTTAGGCTCCCTTCTCTCAGCTTGGCACGTGGTTTTCTGTTTATTTTGTAATTATAATTGCTATGACTTAGGGACCCTTATAAATTTTATTTTGGATAATTGTTATAGGTTATTTGACCGTAACTACTCAATCTTTTGTTTGAACTTGATAACTTTTAAACACGTCAATCTGGACCATGGTTTTCTATTGGGCCAAGCCTATTTATTTTGGATTGTACATGTTAATGGTATAAGAAAAATGTGTGTTTAGTAGAGTTGATTATATCTATAAACTGTTGTTGAACCCTGAACTTTCTACAAATTATTTATTGGGCTCTATTTGCCTTAAGTTCAGTGGTGATTGTTAATTTTGATGTCGCTTTGTTTGGACAGGTATATTTTTAAGAAAAATGTTTTTTTATAAAAATAAAGGGGGGAGGTTTTCTTTTGTCAAAAAAAAAAAAGGCAAAAATTAGGTCTGTTACATTCATCATTGGCATCTTCATTGTTGATTTAACCCCCATTGTTAGTTCATCACTTGAGCTTAGAAAGTAGAGTTTTGTGGTAAGGATTCATGTTCAATAGCTTCGTTGAAAGTGTTCACCCATTCTTTATCCTTGATTCTTCAACAATCTCTATGGTGGGGATGGGTTATGATTTTTTAAAATGAAATGACATTGTGTTTTGTTATTCTCCTGTTCAACTAAGGTGAGGACAATTGATTTGTTCATGTCTGAAAAGAGGAAACTCAATCTTCCCACAGTGCTTCCATCTAATTCAATGTTGTTTTGGAAAGTAATTGAATACGATTTTGATTCAATGTTGTTTAAATCTAATTGAATTTGCTGCTTTGATAAGTATTGGACATGATTGCTTTGGTATTGAATCTGATTATGCATTGATGGACGTACTTGTATGGATTTCAAAAGTGTGAACAATGGTACTTATTGTATTATTGATGGGCTGATAACTACTGAATGCTGTAATTTTGAAAAATGCTTTGCATAAATACTCAAAGAACAATAGAGCTCTGACCTCACGGTATCCAAGGTTTAGTTTTGTTGCCCTCGCCAGTGTTGTTAAAGGCGAAAGGCGCACTCAAGCTGCAAAGCTTGTAAAACGGCCTAGGCGCAAGGCGCTAAAAAGGTGCGCACCTAAGTGAAGCAAGGTTTATATATCATAAGTGACTACTATTTCTTTCCCCTTTAAAAATTGTGTCTAATATGTTTGTTTTTATATCAGAAGTGACTTTACTATTTCATATCTATAATAATCCTATTTCATATATGTGAAACTGGTATTATAGGTTGCAAACAAGCATGGGTACAAAGGAGGAAATAATGGAAGAGATATGATGATCATTGGGCTGGTTTTGCATAACTTGTTATGAATTGGGTTGATAAAATTCACAAATTGAAACTTTCAAGATTTCATATATTGCACTTTTGTCTTGATATATTGTGGTAGATGATGACATTAACTTTACACTGCGAAACTTTATAATTGCAATCCAAAAAGAAAGTAGTAGCTACAATCAACCAAGGAGTTATGAACAAAATGAGCTCCAAGATCAGAAAAGATCAGAAAGAGAGAAGCTCAAGCACAGTAAGTGCCATACAATGATTTCAAGAGCCATCATGGCCAAAAACAACGAAAGAGAAGCTCAAGTGTATCTAATAGAAGCTCTGACTGGAACAGGTGTAGAAGCAATGGCTGGAATAAAAGGAAGAAATGGCTAAAACAAAAGGAGCTAATGAAGCAGCTGGGAAGGGATGAGCTGAACTGGATGATATTGTATGGCCTTGAACCTGTATTTGAATCTCAACAATGTAAATAAATATTGTATGGTCTTGAAACTGTGAAGTGTAGTAAAAGTTATATTGATTTGAACAAAAGTGACTCAATTTGCCTGGAAATCAGTCATGATATGGGATTCTATTATGTTGATGGGATTCAATTTGCCTGCGAACCATTCTTTATTGAATTGTTAAAGGGCTTCATTGCTTTCCTTGAAATATGTTGTGTGCTCTAGGCATATCTTATTTTTGGCATTGCTTGTAATGCACATGCCATTGTAATGTCTTGGTCAGGAACTTACATTTTTGTGTGCATGCAAAAAGGTTTCAGAGAGCCATTTGAAAGGCTCAATGATCTTATCACATAACAATGCGATTCTAAATATCACCCCTCCCCTAAAATGGTTAATGTCAGAAAATAACAAGAGATCTATTATTCCAATTTGTCTAATAAATTGTATTTGAGTAAAATGACTTCTCCAAAATAAAGAATAGTCAATCAATGTATATCATACTAGAACACATTTATAACTTACACTTCCAAGTCAATTTAATAAGCATAAAAGAGAGATGAATTTTTCATCAATTGTCTTCAAAGTAAAAAACACATCTCGTTTCACCATATGATAGCTTGTTGTCTTCTTGAAATATGATAATTTTTCATATCAGTTCTTGTACTTGCATATTTTAAATTGGTTTTTCCTCCTACATATTCACTAATTAGCTTAAATGATAATTTTTTTTGTTAATCTGAATTTTTCAGCACTTGTTAAGCCATGAATATAAGCAACAAGAATAATCATTTAAAATAAATCTGATTGAATTACACATTACACAGTACAAGAAACAAAAATATTGCACAGTGGGGTAGCATGTTTGATATTCATTATTCAAAATCGCATTCTTCTAGTTTCTCCCATGCCCCACCAAGTCCAAAAACAACGTATATATAAAACTGAAAGAAAACTGAAAAAAACTAGAGAGAGAGAGAGAGGATGCATGAACTTGCACTTTGTGAATAAAAGATTAGTCAAAACTGATATGTAAGGATTAAGAGGAAGCACCCTAATATTAATAATGTCAATCTTATCCAGTACAATGGATTACCCTAATCCTACACAAACCTGGATAGGGAGTACCTGCAACCTATTCTATTACTAAACATCTCTTTGGAAGATTTTTCTCATAGTTGGCAGAAAGAGCTTTTTTTCTTTTTCTTTTTAATACAAGTACATGTAAAACTCATGTAAAAGTTGAACAAAATCAGGTCATGTCAGATTCCATTAAAGATCTACATCCTGGGGGTGTATGATTGTAAATAATAAGATCAAGATTATCCCGAAAGATTTAGTGAGCAAGCATATCCGTACATCTATTTATTTTTCTAAATATGTGTTTAAAGGTAATGATCTAATTTTTTATGATTCTGTTGATAATTTCAAAGAGAGAATAGTTATTAAAAAAATTATATTCGATAAATGAGAGTGCTTTCACAAAATCAGAATACACGTTGATTGGCAGAAAGAGTTCTCGTGGAGTGGGGCAGTTGCTTCACTTTTTCTATCAACGTCACGAACACTAAATGAAATTTTATGAACAGGCAGTTCAGTCAAAAACTTCGACTGATATATAAAATTCTCGCTGGGTCCATCCTTCTTAATTATTGCTTGTAACTGTTTGTGTCTTCCATGTTATTTGGATTTACTCATCTTTTTGTGTGTCATATTCTAAAGTTTTTTTTTTTAAAAACTTTCTATGAAAGTTTTTTCAATTTTCTGCACAAAACATATATGATATTATCCTTGACATAGATTATAATCTTGTATTGTCCTGCTGGCGATCGATTAATCTCTTTGATTTGTGGAAATATCTTCTGTGGTTTTTGCTATTTGTGAGAGGATGTGTTAAGATAAATGCTGAATCTTAATTATTTTTCTATATATTATATAATAATTTGTTATTTGCATTTTACCAGCTAAAAACTTTAGATATCAAATAACAAATTAATTGGCTACTAAATCACTGCCAATATGTTATATGTTGAGTGAGATATATGATAAAGGCACTTTTTTTAAAAAAAGTGATGATTATATATAGAGTTAGTAATTCTGGGACAGTTTATTAGGGTGGGGCTTATTTGAATCAGGATTCAAATATTTTAACATATAAAAAAAAACCTATATGGCCAAACCCAACCCTAATCCCTTAAGTTTTTGAGTTTATTTAGGGTGGCCTGAATATCCAAATTATTAAGTATTATATTTTTTTATTTAATTTTTATTTTTATTTTAAAAATAGCATTTTCAATTTTTATCTTATTTTTATATTATTTTATTAATAATAAAAAAGAATTCAAGTGTTCAAACTAAACTCATTTGGGTTTGGATTTAGCTCAAATTTCCTCATGTTATTTGAATGGTCTAAATAAGTTTGGAGTAAAAAAAATCTTTTAAACTCTCAAGGCTGGTTTTCAAATTTTTTAAACTTATTCAAGTTGATCTATCAAATTTGGCGAACTGCCTCTAATCATATGCATGTTGCATAATATTTGTGAGGCAGACTTGCAGGATGCAGCGGAAACAGTCAAGGCATAGGATATCCCCCCCCCCCCCTTTCTCTCTTTTCAGATATTCTTTTAGTTGTGATGCTTTATGGTGTGGTATTTCAATCCTTTAAATTATGTTATCAACCAAAGATAGTAACAATTATCTGCGCAAGTTATTGCCTATAAAGCTTTTTGTACTCTGTTGCAGCAAATGCAAGATTGCAAGTTTTCCATGGCTAACAGCGATCTTGATACATCATACATCAGCAAAGTTGTACTCTGTAGTATAATTAACTTTAGCCCTAATCTCTCAGGCTTTTAGGCTGGCCTAAATATTTAAATTATTAAATTTTATTTTATTTTATTACGTTTTTATCCAATTTCACATTTTATTTTTAAAAATTAATATTTTCATTTTTATATTATTTTATTATTAAAAAAAGGAATTTGGATATTCGAGCTAATCCCATTTGGCAAGCCCAAAATTTTTTAGATTTATTCGAGCGGCCCAAATAAGCACGGGGTAAAGAAAATCTTTTAAGAAAAAATGACAATAAAATCCGCCAAATTATATAAATGATAATCTGGTCCTTCAAAATGCTATAACTCTACTGAAATCTCTAGAGATTTCTAAGTCAATAAGTTTTAACTTGAAAAGATTATTTTACTTTTATTAACAAGTTATAATTTATTGTTCATTTTTTGTGATTCTTTTAATAAAAGTTATTTCTTAAATAAAAATTGTGATTGAGATTTATTATTTTGAGAACTTGTTTTTCAATGATAAAAATTATATATCACTAGTTGTAATTTTTTATTTAACTCTTGTAATTAACAGAACAAAAGTTGTTATTCTTTAAGCAAAAGTTATAATCAAGGCTTATTTTTTAATAATAGAAATTACATTTGACAAGTCATGATTTCTTATTTAACTTTTGCGATTTACAAAATAAAAACTATTATTTGTTAAGAAAAGTTATAATTGAAGCTTGTTATTTTCAATAAAAATAAAATGATCTTTTTACTTTAAAATTTATTAACATAGAAATCTTTAAAGACTTTGGCAAAATTACAATATTTTAAAATATCATATTATCATTTATATAATTTGGGAGAGTTTTGTTGTTATTTTCCCAACTTTTAAACTCCTAAACTTGACCTAAGAATTTTCAACCTTATTCGAGTTAGCGGTGGGGCTTGTCCCAAACTACCATAGGAGGCATGTGTGTGCTTGCTCCATGAAAATATCATTATCCCAAAAACAATCAAACGGGTCACATGTTGATATGACGTTTTAGTAATAGGTTTAACTGTGTCTAAATCTAAACAAACCATTTAAGTGTAAGCTAGGGAAAGCTAATTGAACAATTGATCAAATGTACACTTGTGGGGGAATGAAAGTCTACATTTTGGTCCTTTAATTGTATCGTGTGGTTAATGCAACATATTTCTTGACAGAAATTCAGAAACCAAAAAGAAAAAAAAATCTTGATAGAATTCTTTTATGCTATGTCTTGTGAAACTCACCAAAAAGAGGTAGGGTGTGTTTAAATTATAGTTTACAAAACTTTAATGTTTATAAATTGGAGTTTGCGAACTAAAATTAGGATAAAAATAAGTTATTATAATGTGATTTATGTTTGGATTTTTTTTTTCAAAAAAGATCAGTTCCATATATTTACTTAATTTTTAGTTTTCTCCTTGATCTCGAACAATAGTAAAGCATATTTTGTTGATTGATTAGCATTTATTATTTTTTGCAATCTTAGAAAATATATATATATATTTATTTATTTATTTGGAAATTTATTTTAAAAAAATTAAAGCTATTGCAAAGGAAGAACATCAAAACTAAGTTTGATTAAAATTATAGCGTGTCAAATCTTTTTGTATTGTCCTTCTCTTAAACAATTAAAATAAAATGAAATATACAGCAATGAAATTCATGATCCTTGGATTGGCTCTCATTATTCATTATCTTTTTTACCTTACAAATTTTTGGGCAAAACATCTCTTACAAATTAATGTACCTTCCGTATTGGCTTACATTCATCTATTAATTAAAGTAAATACTTAATATTTAAAATAAAGAATTGAAATTAAAATTCTTTATATTCAACTATTGCTTTTGTTATTTATTTAACAAGTGCATTGGTAGCATACTCTTTATTAATAAAGTTAACTGACTTAATGTCTAATACTTTATTCTCTTCACTAATAAAAAATAACATATCAAACAAACACAGATGTAATCACTCTGAAGTGGAAGAATTCATCATTATATTGAAATTAGTAAAATTAATATCAATATTTCAAGGTAAAAGAGCAGCTAAATTTGCATGAGACTAATTATTTTTTGAAATAATTTTATTAATTGAAATATTTTTTAAAAAAATTTTGCTTCATTTTATTTCAAATAATTAATCAAGAAGAACTTATATTATTAATAAATTTTGTTGTTTTATCTTCTAATTATTTCATCTATTCAAACATTTAAGACGTGCATGTCTTTCCTTTTGTTTTTTAGGGGAAAGGTGGGTTTCAAAACTTACTTTATTGAAAAGTTACTGTTAAAAAATTGATTTCATAATTTGATTAAATTTTCA